GGCTATTGGCCGGTTCGTGCCTGGCGCTGAGGCAGACCTAGGCCTGGCAGGCAGACAATGCTTTATTCAATCTGGTTATAACTGTCATAACCCGGGGAACACATTGTATCCACAGAGCAACCAGCACACAGCAAGGGGGCAGCCCGGCGGGAACAGGCAACAGGTATACACAGGGATCACTATATGGCCATTAACTGCTGCAGGGAGAGGAGCTGGGCTGGAATCCTAATGGCAGGATGGAGGGGAGAGGAGCTGGAATCCTAATGGCAGGATAGAGGAGAGAGGAGGTGGGCTGGAATCCTAATGGCAGGATGGAGGGGAGAGGAGCTGGGCTGGAATCCCAATGGCAGGATGGAGGGGACAGGAGCTGGGCTGGAATCCCAATGGCAGGATGGAGGGGAGAGGGAGCTGGGCTGAATCAATGGCAGGTTGGAGGGGAGAGGAGCTGGGCTGGAATCCCAATGGCAGGTTGGAGGGGAGAGGAGCTGGCTGAATCCCAATGGCAGGATGGGAGGGAGAGAGTCAGCTGGAACGAACGGCAGGTTGGAGGGGAGAGGAGCTGGGCTGGAATCCCAACAGCAGGATGGAGGGGGAGAGGAGCTCGGGCTGGAACTTAATGGCAGGATGAGGGGAGAGGAGCTGGGCTGGAATCCTAATGGCAGGATGGAGGGGAGAGGAGCTGGGCTAGAATCCTAATGGCAGGATGGAGGGGAGAGGAGCTGGGCTAGAATCCTAATGGCAGGATGGAGGGGAGAGGAGCTGGGCTGGAATCCCAATGGCAGGATGGAGGGGAGAGGAGCTGGGCTAGAATCCTAATGGCAGGATGGAGGGGAGAGGAACTGGGCTAGAATCCCAATGGCAGGATGGAGGGGAGAGGAACTGGGCTAGAATCCCAATGGCAGGATGGAGGGGAGAGGAGCTGGGCTGGAATCCAAATGGCAGGATGGAGGGGAGAGGAGCTGGGCTGGAATCCTAATGGCAGGATGGAGGGGAGAGGAGCTGGGCTGGAATCCTAATGGCAGGATGGAGGGGAGAGAAGCTGGGCTGGTATCCTAATGGCAGGATGGAGGGGAGAGGAGCTGGGCTGGATGGAGGGGAGAGGAGCTGGGCTGGATTCCTAATGGCAGGATGGAGGGGAGAGGAGCTGGGCTGGAATCCCAATGGCAGGATGGAGGGGAGAGGAGCTGGAATCCCAATGGCAAGATGGAGGGGAGAGGAGCTGGAATCCCAATGGCAGGATGGAGAGGAGCTGGGCTGGAATCCCGATAGCAGGATGGAGGGGAGAGGAGCTGGGCTGGAATCCCAATAGCAGGATGGATGGGAGAGGAGCTGGGCCCGCCTCCTGTCGTTGGACTACGGCCCCATGTTTAACACTGTTCTTTTTCCCTGCAGAAAGGCTGGTTTGTGCCTTTCTGCGGACTGTTAGTCACGAACATTGCTGAACCGCCCACCTCCCTTCTCCTACCTGCAGTCAATTATCCAACACCGGTCCATTCGGTACTTTACTGTTTAAATCATGCTACCCCAGATAGCTATGCCGTGGAACCCAGCCGTATACTGAGAGACTGTATGAAAGAATTTGGCTCCATGGCGATTTGAACTGTATGTATGTGATCTGAGCGCCATCCGGTAATAATGTGCTTTCAGATCTAAGCTATCTGGGGATAGGTATAATGTGTATGTTCTATGTGATAAATGTAACAGTATGTATTTTTATGTCTTTTATTGTCCTTTGTCTGCCATGAGGTTAATGGAGTTTTGCCTCTGTCCTTGGAGATAATTAGATTACTTCCCAATTATCTCCAGGACAGAGAGGAGGGATTGTGATGCATTGTGGGATTGTAAGCTTGTGATTGGTCAATGTCCAATATGTTTCCCAGTCTTCCATCTGGTCCCCAAGGGGAGAGTCCACCAGGTGGGAGACCTGCATAAAAGCCGGGCAGGTAGTCCCAGTAAATCAGTTCTGCTTGACCCTCAAACGAAGTGTCGTCTCGTTCTTGGGGGGAATTGGATTGTATGCTGTTACAGTGCGACTGCCAGGAGTGTAAACTGTCCATATGGTTTTTCCTGTTTGGCTGTTTAACAGTGTTTGGGAGTTGGTGAATTTGTGTGTTTGTTTGCAATTTGGGAGATTGGTGCTTGCAGCAGCTGTTCGTGTATTTAAAAGGGGAATATCGCCTAAACTGTTTTTAACCTTTTGTGTGCAAAACGGCCCGTTACAAATCCCAATGGCAGGATGGAGGGGAGAGGAGCTGGGCTGGAATTCCAATGGCAGGATGGAGGGGAGAGGAGCTGGGCTGGAATCCCAATGGCAGGATGGAGGGGAGAGGAGTTGGGCTGGAATGCTAATGGCAGGATGGAGGGGACAGGAGCTGGGCTGGAATCCTAATGGCAGGATGGAGGGGACAGGTGCTGGACTGGAATCCTAATGGCAGGATGGGGGAAGACAGGAGCTGGGCTGGAATCCTAATGGCAGGATGGAGGGACAGGTGCTGGACTGGAATCCTAATGGCAGGATGGGGGAAGACAGAGCTGGGCTGGAATCCTAATGGCAGGATGGAGGGGACAGAGCTGATCTGGAATCCTAATGGCAGGATGGAGGGGACAGGAGCTGGGCTGAAATCCTAATGGCAGGATGGAGGGGACAGGAGCTGGGCTGAAATCCTAATGGCAGGATGGAGGGGACAGGAGCTGGGCTGGAAGCCTAATGGCAAGATGGAGAGGAGCTGGGCTGGAATCCTAATGGCAGGATGGAGGGGACAGGAGCTGGGCTGGAATCCTAATGGCAGGATGGAGGGGACAGGAGCTGGGCTGGAATCCCAATGGCAGGATGGAGGGGAGAGGAGCTGGGGCTGGGGGATCCCAATGGCAGGATGGAGCGGAGAGGAGCTGGGCTGGAATCCCAATGGCAGGATGGAGGGAGAGGAGCTGTGCTGGAATCCCAATGGCAGGATGGAGGGGAGAGGAGCTGGGCTGCTGGAATCCTCAATGGCAGGATGGAGGGGAGAGAGGAGCTGGGCTGGAATCCTAATGGCAGGATGGAGGGGAGAGGAGCTGGGCTGGAATCTTAATGGCAGGATGGAGGGGAGAGGAGCTGGCTGGATGGAGAGGAGCTGGGCTGGAATCCTAATGGCAGGTTGGAGGAAAGGAGGAAATGGCTGAATCATAAAGGCAGGTTGGAGGAGAGGAGCTGGGCTGGAATCCTAATGGCAGGATGGAGGGGAGAGGAGCTGGGCTGGAATCCCAATGGCAGGATGGAGAGGAGCTGGGCTGGAATCCCAATGGCAGGATGGAGCGGAGAGGAGCTGGGCTGGAATCCCAATGGCAGGATGGAGCGGAGAGGAGCTGGGCTGGAATCCTAATGGCAGGATGGAGGGGAGAGGAGCTGGGCTGGAATCCTAATGGCAGGATGGAGGGGAGAGGAGCTGGGCTGGAATCCTAATGGCGGGATGGAGGGGACAGGAGCTGGGCTGGAATCCTAATGGCAGGATGGAGGGGAGAGGAGCTGGGCTGGAATCCTAATGGCAGGATGGAGGGGACAGGAGCTGATCTGGAATCTTAATGGCAGGATGGAGGGGACAGGAGCTGGGCTGGAATCCTAATGGCAGGATGGAGGAGAGAGGAGCTGGGCTGGAATCCTAATGGCGGGATGGAGGGGACAGGAGCTGATCTGGAGAGATTCCCCAACTCGGCCATTGTCACACATAGGGTTATTTACAAAGTAATATCCAATTCTGTTTTCCAGTTTGGCTAGTTTGGCCTTAAATTTACAATTCACTGTTGGGTCCCTGGCAATTCTCACTTCAGTCCATAACCCTGTCAGTGTGATAATTACTGTTATTTATATAGCGCCAACAAATTTCACAGCGATGTACACTGGGTGGACTAACAAACACGTAATTGTAACCAGATGAATAGGACGCACAGGCACAGAGGGGTTGAGGGCTCTAGCATGTGAGCTCATTGAGCAGAGGGAAAGAAGGTTGGTAGAAGAGCGTTTCAATTAAACCTGACAGGAGTCTGTTGTAGGCTATTAACAGAACAGGAGATACATTCTAATTTAAATGCACCGTGCAATAATGGAAGCTTAAAAATGTAGACTATAAAAAAAAAATAAAAAAATTCTCCAGGAAGTGTGTAGGAAGAATGTGTAAGTCACAGGCAGTGAAGGTGTGGCTAGGGTTACATAAACACTGCTTTAAAGGACCACTATAGGCACACAGACCACTCCAGCTCAATGAAGTGTTCTAGGTGTCAGGTCCATCTAGGGTTAACCCTGCAGCTGTAAACATAGCAGTTTCAGAGAAACTGCTATGTTTATGTTTGGGTTAATCCAGCCTCTAGTGGCTGTCTCATTGACAGGCGCTTCTTACTCTGATTTTCACAGTGAGAAGACGCTTGCGTCCCTAGGAAAGCATTGAGAAATGCTTTCCTGTGGACTGATTGAACGCGCGCGGCTCTTGCCGCACATGCGCATTCCTCAAAAGAGGGAGGAGAGTCCCCAGCGCTGAAGAAAGGTAAGAGATTAACCCCTTTCTCCCCCTAGTGCCCGGCGGGAGGGGGCCATGAGGGTGGGGGGGGGGACCTATTTAACACTATAGTGCCAGGAAAACAAGTTTGTTTTCCTAGCACTATAGTGATCCTTTAAAGACCGTGAATTGAGCAGTCAAGCTGCAGGGCATGATACATAAACCAAAACTACTTGATTAAACTAAAGTTATTTTGGTGCTTAGTCCTTATCAAGAAATCTGCAGCATATTAAATCTTCCTACTATACGGTAGCTTTTCTCACGTGATGTCCATCAACATGAAAAATTACACACATACAGGGGGAAAATGTGACTGGATTTTATTTTTTCTTTAAGCTGCAACAATTCTATTATCTCACACAGTGGCATCTTGCTGGTAGAAGTTATATAAATTGTAAATAACTATTGATAATCCAGCTGTTGTAGACAATGTTACTCTTCGGCTGGCTGAGTATCACACAGACTACAATTGCTGTTGAGAACTACTGTACGCACTAGTATAGGGATACATTACTTTTTTAGGGAGGGACCAAGATAACTGATATTTTTCCCCTGGGCCACTAAATGATTTGGCACCTTGCACACACGTATCTACTCTCATCCTCCCCAATTTTGCCTGTTTCTCCTCTCCTGTGCCCTTCCCAGTTTCTTCACAATCCTCCCCTTACACTGTAACTCTCCCCATTATTTCTTCTCTTTCTGCATATGTCCTTTTCACAGTCCTCCAAGAAGTAAAGTTGAGGAAGAGACCTATCGTCAGGTCTCGCGTATCAGTAGAGTGTCGACGCATTTCCATTTTCCGACAGTAGTGAGGCAAAAGACAGTAGGCGTGCAAACTCAGTTGTTGTTGTTATGCAGAATTTTGTATGCGGAGGGCTGTGGGCCGGCAGCAATGCATTCTCTGGCTGGAGGTTGTACTCCCCTATTGATTAAGCAGGAGTTGTAAATGTTTTAATAGTTAAAGGAACACTATAATGTCAGGAACACAAATGTATTCTTGACCCCATAGTGTTAAAAACACGTTTGGTCCCTTGCCCCCCTGAAATAATAAGAAAACTCGCCTTTTTTCCAAACGCCGTGTGGGACTGCTGGCGCTTGCCCCACCTCCTCGGCTGACATCAAAATCTCATAGGAAAGCATTGAACTGATTGAGATTGTCAATTCTGAGATCTCCGCTAAGGTGGCAGGTCCAAACACCATCCTAAGCAATCAGCATCTCCCCCTACAGATGTTTTGAAACAAGCGTTCAGCGTCACCTTGCAAAGCGAGTAGATGCTGAACTTTTCTCTGAAGCTTTGTCTTTTGTTAGCTTTCTAAATTAGCTGTATTACCCTACATTTCACAACTTTCTTTATAATTCAGCACAATCTTCTGTCTAGATTCTAGTCCATAAACCCGAAACACTGTTATTCACTGAGAGGGTTTATTCACTTAACCCATTAAGGACCAAACTTCTGGAATAAAAGGGAATCATGACATGTCACACATGTCATGTGTCCTTAAGTGGTTAATGTGGCACTGTCACCATCTGGGGACGTTGCCATCACTGTTCGGGGTCTGGTAAAGGTGAGATATACTTAACTGAACCAGTTCCTCACAGGCACATCTATCTAATTGCATTGGGTTCCTCTCAGCTCTGTTGTACTTTTGCGCGTGCCGAGTCCTTACTTTGTCTCTGTATATCTCTTGACTAGGTTGGAATTTCAGTGAAGTTCCAACACAATGAAAAATAATATTTCATAAAAATTCTATATCTATATTAAATACTTATTTTTCGTGGCGGGGCGACAGTGCTGCTTTAACTTGAAAATATCCAATAGTCCAAATATGATAAAATGTCAAATTTAGCAAAATGTCCCCTCTCATCTAGACCAGGTTATTCCCTACATAGAAACATAGAATGTGACGGCAGATAAGAACCATTCGGCCCATCTAGTCTGCCCAATATTTCTAAATACTTTCATTAGTCCCTGGCTTTATCTTATAGTTAGGATAGCCTTATGACTATCCCACGCATGCTTAAACTCCTGATTTCAGCAGGGTGCAGCCATAGTAGAGTTAGTATTTTAGTCTATATTTTACAGTTTGAATATAATAATGATTGCCACAGCTTGGCTATTTTCCAGTGGTTTCAGTGGAGGTGACATTCAGTGTAAGATAAATCCCTGCTTGGTGAATAGCCTCCTACAGTGCTCCCATAGCTGTATTGATTGAGGTCCAGGCTGTGTGTGCAGTGCAACTCCTATGGAACGTTCTCCTGATTGACAGCTGCAGTCGCTGAGTGACGTACAACGTGCGCGCATTGTCTGTGTACACTTGCACACTTTGCACGTCAGTGACGTAGAACGCGCGCGCCGGAAGCAGTGCTGCTGCTGCTTGGTATGCGCATGCGCATTGATACCTGTAAAGGCGGTGGGATTCAAAAACGCGGGGAACAGGGCAGCAAAAGGAGTTCCCGTGTGTTTTGGCGGAGGAATACGGCGCCCAGCGACCTACCTGTGCAGACGGTGGGTCCCCCTGTGTGTTGGGGCAGGCTGACACGTGGGAATTAGCAGTAACCAGGATAAAGGGGCTGCCATTCACCCTGGCTGCCAATGGGTTAAACAGTAATGGGTTAAAATCATTTAATTTGACATATACAGTGTCAGTGTGTCTCTAAGCTGCCCTAACATCATTCTTATCATTTCATTCACCTGAGTTATCATCATTTGTGTTATATTTATATATATATATGTGTGTGTGTATTGTCCTAACATATTTCTAATTATTTCCTTCATTCCTCTTGTTTTTATCTTGCATATTTTGCTTTGAAAATGAAAAGCAATATACATTAAATACACGAATGCTGGACGAAAATGTCACGTTATTAAAGGACCACTATAGGTCTGGGTGCCAGGTCCAGCTAGGTTTAACCCTTTCTGTTGTAAACCTAGCAGTTTCAGAGAAACTGTTATGTTTACATATGGGTTAATCCAGCCTCCAAAGCCTCTAGTGGCTGTCTCGTTGACAGCCGCTAGAGGCGCTTCCGCGCTTCTCACTGTGATTTTCACAGTGAGAAGATGCCAGCGTCCATAGGAAAACATTGAGAATGCTTTCTTATGAGACTGGCTGAATGCGCATTCAGCCAGGGATGTCAGAAGAAGGAGAGTTCCAGTGCTGAGGGAGCCCGGCGCTGGAAAAAAAGGTAAGGGATTAACCCCTTCCTCCAACTTCAGCCCGGCGGGTGGGGGCACCCTGAGGGTGGGGACACCCTCAGGGCACTATAGTGCCAGGAAAACACTATAGTGGTCCTTTAAAATATAGTCTAACTCCCTAATCTTAAGGGAGCTGACATCTAACTCAGTGCCAACCGTAACTCGACTCAGTGCAATGTCCATTTTCATTGACTGGTGGTGGTGGAGTAAGAAGCAGGTATGAGGTCCATCAGCAGGTAAGGTAAAAGGTTCTCATGGTTCATGTAGGTCAGTACTTGCTTGTAGTGGTCGGATACCGCCTGCATCCACAAACTATGTGCAAGTTAGGCTACCGATGGTTATACTGGTTGTTTTTTTTTTTTTGTTTTCTTGTAAATCTGCTATAAAAATGTTTTTGTCTCAACCTGCTCTTCTTCCCTTTTTTTTTTTTTTTCTAATTTTCTTCCCTTGTAACCCCAAAGTTACATGTACACTAATATTGCAGCACCCAGGTGAAGGAGGAAGGGAGAAATCATAAAAGGTTTTTCCCTCTTCAGTGCTTCGATCTTTCACTAGTTGACCATTTTCTTGATGGAGTCATTTGCTGGGAGTCATGTCACTGGTTGTACATGTACAAGAATAGACAACATAGGTCAGCCAACGAGACTATAGGACCTCCGACAGGTTCTGTAGTGCATGCTCTGTGAAATGCCATGGTATCTATTTTTGCATCATGAGAGCAGGTGCCTGTTCTATTTTCCAGAAATCTTGGCTGGTAATTGAGTGGAAATAGCAACATTTGGACGCAAAAGCTTCACTGCATTGGATTTTAAATTTTTCAGACTTTATGAAAAACAAGTGACAGGGATACTTTTAACTTTGATTATCTGATTAGGAATTCTGTTTTTGAAAACATTCATACATTTAAAGCCTAATGCTGTGTTTTTTTTTTTTTTTTGTCAATAGATTCCAGGATGGAAATATACAGTAGGAACAGCACTAGGAGAGTGCGGAGTAGTAGCCGTTTATCTGTATCTGGTGCCTCCGCATCTCAGACAACTGAAAAATGGGGTGAAAAAGATGGTAGTCGTGAAGAATCTGTTGCAAAAAATCTGGACAGAGACTTGTATGAGGCTGCTGGTCTAACTGCAACTAGTCTCCAAGATGAATCAATGCTTTATCAAGGCAATGAGCAAGCTGTCCAGAATGGAGTCATTGTATCAGAAGTTATCAGCTCCAAAAGAAATAAAAGATGGCCTGCAAGATTGTTCTCCATGCTGTGCTGTCTTGTCGTTGTTTGCATCCTCGCTGTTATGCTTACAGTTATTTATCTCATGATGGATGGTGAGTACTCGCTCTCTCAAAACAATGTTTAAAGTAGTTCTGAGGGGTATATACTTAAGTAATGTACATGCTGTCCAGTGTAGTCATAATAAGCATGCACTGGCATATTGTGCACAACTCATACATTTCTTCCTCTCCTGATATCTATGAAAGCCAAAGTAACTACGGTCTATTCATGAAATAGAAGTGCTGTCTGCTATAGTTTGTGGATTATTAATGGTTAAAACAAGAGTAAGCAAAAAAAGTCAGTTCCTTTAACCCAGTAAACACTATTTCATCATTTACCTGGCCGAATAACGCAGAGGACGTCCAATGTACTTCTGGGCCACAATGACTTTGCCGTCCATAATTCAGTGGACGAGCACCTGCATGTTTATGCATCTAACAGATAAATGCCAAAGGCACACATGCATGCTCGTCATTTTCGACAACATTGCGATACACATCCATGTTCCATGCATGTGATACAGCAAGAGTTTAGCAATATCTGTACTTTTTACCGGCAAAGCATGTAAATAAAAGTACCTTTAAAGAATTAAAAAAAAAAAAAAAAATCACCATCAATAGTTACATTTTATACGCACACTAGGCCTCATTAGGGTTTAAACATTGCAAGATATTTTTGGCTTGTGTTTTAATATTTATGTTGATCTAACAAACTGTTTTGTTTGATGAAATAAGAACCTGTCATCTATTCCATTTGCTATATTCTATTGCTGACTAACAACATCTATTTTTAATTTTTTTTAAATTTTTTTTTTTATTTTTGTTTCATTTCTTTTCTCAATGTAGATATGAAATCTGGAAGAGAGGTTAATGAAGATGGAGTAAAAACTAGTATATTAGGTATGTCCATGTATGTATTTGGGTAGAAGTGTGAAGAGACTAACTTCCATGTAATCACAGCTTAATTCATATGTGAATTTAAGCAAAATCTTTTATTTACATATGTTTGTCACACAATTTCCTCTTTTGGCATAGGATTCTGGGGCTTGTTTGTCCTGTCTGTCATAGTGGGACTTTCCTGCTGCAGCTTTTCCTGGACTGTGACATATTTTGACTCATTTGAACCTGGAATGTTTCCCCCTACTCCATTGTCCCCAGCACGTTTCAGGTAAGGCCTGTTTGAATTTGAGAAAATATGAATTTTTACAAGTGCATTAAATTGCCGCACTTCCTGACCAAGAAGAGGCTCCACTTGTTCGGGGCCTCTGCTTCTTTTTTTCTTCTTTCTTCTTCTTCTTTAATTAAAGGGACATAAAAGTAAAATTCCACTATTTCAGTCAGATGGTCTCTCTGAGAGCCCATCTTATTGGTACAGTGTAAAGATTTGACACGCATGTGCACTAACCTACCAATGCTTTCAAATGGGAAGATCATGTCTCGATGAACCAAAGAGGTAAAATGTTGGAGACCAGTGCTGCGAGGGAGAAAAAGTAGGTAAACTCACTTCTTTTTTTTAACCCTAGCAAGGGGGATAGTCACCTAACTGGTGACTGGGGCTCTATGACATTAGGAATACCCATTTGCCCAGCAGTGGCAGTTGTCCCCCAGCCACAGTACCACTTATTAGTTTGGCTAGTAACCTCTAATTCTCTGGCATTGGTAGTTGTGGAGGGGAACGTTGCTTAGCAGACACCTGATACGTTCAGCTGTTCTAAAATGGGTTGACTACTTAAAAGGAGTGTGTGAACACCAGGGCACTACTGGCACCATAACCACTACAACATGCTGTAGAACACTCCACTGCACAAATAAAAAAAATCACTGTTTAGTAGATACACCCAAAATGAAACCATTTATGCATTCTTAATTGGAGATATGTCTAAAACCGCCTGCTAAACCTGCAGTTCTCTTGTCGGCAGCCTTTGCAAGTCCTCTTTTAACCCAGACTTCTGTGGCTGTCCAATCCCAGATTTCCCAGAACAGCTCAATGAGAAGTCTGTGCAAGGCATGTGCTCTGGGCAATTGCTGAGTTTTTCTCCACTGGGCTAGCCAAACCAGAAAGTAACAGAACCTGTCTGCTTGAAAGTCAAAGGGGTGTAACCAGGTTAATTTATAAAAGTGTCCGGTTTTTAAGGATATCTGCACTTTTTCCAAAATACAAATAAATAGGACATATTCTTCACACACAAAGCTTTTCAGCAAAATAAAGTGCTCTGGGGGTCTGGCGTGTCCATTTAAAGCATGGGTTGCCAACCTGGTCCCTACCGCCCACCAGTGGGCGTTTTGGGATTCCAGGTGGGCATGAAAGCACGAGCGCGTGTGCCTGAACGCGCATGTGCGCCAATATCGCACGGGTGTGTGCTCGTGAACGAGTAACACGCAGGTAGAGGAAGGGGAGGAGGTAGGGGGATACACGATAGCAGGGAGCGAAGTACTTGGAAAATAGGAGAAAGAAGGAGCAGAGTATTTGTAAAAAAAAAAAAAAAGGAGAAAGAAGGAAAATAAAAATATAAAAAGGAAAAGGAGAGAATTGTTTTTGGATATTATTATTATTATTATGTGGGCTACCTAGCTCAGCCTTCCTGCTGGGCATTGCTATAAGGAAGGTAAAAATATAAAAAAGGAAAACAAAGGTGGGGAGGGGAATTGGGAGAGGAGGGGATGCACAGATGAGAAATCATATTCTGACTAAACAGAGAAATAGTCTGAATATCACCGAAAGAGGAGACCTTTGTTTGTTCCTTACTAAAATCGAACCAGATATCAAATATTTAGTCTCGCAGCATAATCCTCAAGGATCTCATTAATCACTAGTTAAAGATAATTTCAATTTACTTAATTGGTTTCTCATTAAACTTTTATAAAGTTAAAAACATTATAAATATGCATAAAGTAGAAATAAAAAGATAAATGTTTAAAAAAAATCCTCATTCTAAAAAAATATTCAGCACTTGCACGAAAACTGGTGGGTGGTAAGGACATTTTTCAATCAAGAAAGATGCATTAGTGGGCAGTAGATAGAAAAAGGTTGACTACCCCTGATTTAAAGCAATACTATAGATAATAAATCCACTTTCATTTAATGAAGCCGTTTTGGTGTATAGATCATGCCGCTGCAGTCTCACTGCTCAGTTCTCTGCCATTTGAGTTAAATCACTTTGTTTATATAGTCCTGGTCCTACCTCCCTGCATGTGACTTGCACAGCCTTCCCAAACACTTCCTGTAAAGAGAGCCCTATTTAGGCTTTCTTTATTGCAAGTTCTGTTTAGTTTTACATTTCTTATCTCCTGCTCTGTTAATATTGTCTTTTTAGACTCTCCTGTGTGCACAGCTGATTGAAAGTGTTTTTTTTTCATGGAGGCTAAATGAGTCACAGCCAGGTGTGGCAATGGCTGCATAAGCAAACTGATTTCACTCGTAAATGGCAGAGAATTGAGCAGTGAGACTGCAGTGGCATGTTCTATACACCAAAACTGCTTCATTAAAGTAAAGTAGGTTTTGTGACTGTAATGTCCCTTCTAGTAGGAAACCACTAACCTACCAAATTAACTAGCCTGTGAAAAGGTTTTGTCAAAAATCACTAAAGTTTGTAATTATTAAATCTGTAATGTCCCTTTAAACTATCATGCTTATTGGGAAGTTTGTTTCTGGGTCTGTTTAGCTCTCCCTCAATATAAAGCTCCACATACCACAATTTTTGTGATACTGCTCGGTAAAAGAACACACATGGACTTTAGCTGCTTTACTTATATAAGCACATAAATAAAATGTAAAAATCGTATTTATTTCCTACCATGTTAGCGTACAGCGTAGATGAACTTTCAGAGCAAATACCGACCGGTATATGTTAAATGAATACCTCGTCGCTCTGCTATTAATGAATGCACCCAATAAATTGGTCAGTAGATGGTGTGCTTGTATGGTAAGCTGCTTCAACAAAGCTCAGTCCAGAGATATCAGCATGAGCTCCATTCGTTTTATACTGTGTAAATTAGTCCTGTCTATAGCAATTTAAAAAAACAACAACAATTTTTAAGGTGCAGTCTCATATATTTATCTAATTTAGATGTGTTCTCTATTTTTGATTAGAGTACCATTTTTTTTTTTAGATAGAATTTAAAAAAAAAAGCAAAACAACTTTAAACCTATTTATTCCAGTGCCAAGACAATCTTATCACCAACGGAGAATAGCATTGCAGAGAACTTTTGTCCAGTCATATGCTTCATATAGAGAGGCATTGAAGACACACAACACATGCGCGCTAAACACCAATGTCTTCCAAATCAATTCAAACTCAATCCAATGATTCTCATTGGAAACCTTGGATGCACACGGAATCTGGTGTTCGCATACTTTATCTGCTGGTGCCTGATGTGAAATAGAAGCAGTTTTTTAAAAATCTGTCAGAAGTCCCCAATGGATGTCTGGCTGACAAAGACTAGTAGATGTGAGTATTACAAAATATAAACTGTGCGATTTCTCAGAAACTGCTCTGTTTTCATTTGCTAAACTGCCGTGGCAACAGCTATGCCTCAAAATCTGTACATTAAAGGAACACTATAGGGTCAGGAACACAAACGTGTTCCTGACCCTATGGTGTTTAATCCACCATTTAGGTGGCTTGCCTCCTTAGAAAAGGTGAAAACTAACCTTATTTCCAGTGCCACGTGGGTCTGCTGATGCTGGCCCCACTCCTGAACCGCCTTCTTGGTGACATCAGAATTGCAGATTTTTAGCCAATCCAATGCTTTTCCCAGACTAAAAAAAACAAAACCCACGTTGATTTCAAACGTTAAAAACCTCTTTTTATGTTGTTCATCCAACAGAATGCAAAACCCCAGTTTGAAGTGTTGGCCAGTTGTGCCACAAAAAAGGGGGGTGGGCAAATGTTTTACTCCATAATGACCATCTGATTTCTACTCTGATCAACAAACTGTTCGTATGCATAATACATCCTATTTATATCCTTGAGTATTCTGTTTAAAACAAAACATAGAGTCCTTTTTAACAAAAAGTAAAACAAAAGCTACATTATTAAAGAATGAACAAGAAAAATGATTATCACTTCAGAAAGTTTTGTTACAAGAATGCCATAAAGGCTGAGTAGCAGGCTTGACACCTCCAATTTTTAATTCTTGAGACCTGCAATAATTAGCTTAAAATAATCTTACTAGAATTGCAAACGTCTTTAAGTTCTGCAGCAAACAGTCCTCTCCCAGAACAGCAGGAGGATACAATAAACAGAAAGCTCTCATTCTGGTCTTTTCTTGTGAAACCCTATTTAGCTGGAGTTTATGGGAAAAAGTAGTTCAACTCCCAGGGCACCTCTTGTTATAGTGAGACTGCAACCCATTTATATAAAAACCTGAATCAAAAGCTTGTGCAGTGCTGCCCTTGGGCTCCCTACTGCTGCAATTCCTTCTTTGATAGCACTGATCCAAGATCTTCAACAAATTGGTGGCTATAAGCCACATTGAACAGAGTGTACCGTAACCTTTCGAAAACTGGAAAATTATTGTGATTTATTGAGCAGGCCAAAACGAATACTTGTAAAGTAACTGGATGGAGTGAACATACAACTAAACTGAAAGTATTTTTAGGACAAAAAATGGAATTGTCTAAGCCAGCGTTTTCCCAATTAGTGTTCCACTTTCGCTTAAGGAAGCAGTTTTGGCCTAAGCAAATCGCCGCGGCCCAAGCATTTTGGGCCACCCGATGGTTATCCCTAAACAGGGGTCCGGTCAGGCGCTGCAGTCATCTAAAACCGCGACGGTACCCCTGTAGAATTGGATGCTGGGAGGAAGTGACGGCACTTCCTCCCAGACAGAGCGCGCCGCCTGGAGGGGGAGATGGAGCAGCGGGGACTGAGCACACCAACCTCAGCCAGCAGCACTGAAGATCCTCCTGCAGAAAAAAACATGTTTTTACACACACGCACGCACTGGCACATACAAACACACTGTATGTATATCTGTGTGCCAGTGTGTATCTGTGTCAGATACACACACTGGCACATTTATAAAAAAAAAAGTCCTTACAGCCCACCAGTTTTCGCGCAAATGCTGAATATTTTTTAGAATGTACGTACATTTATCTTTTTATTTCTACTTTATGCATATTTATGTTTTTAACTTTATTGTTTTCTCATTAAACTTTATAAAGTAAATTGAAATTATCTTTAACTAGTGATTAATGAGATCCTTGAGGCTTATGCTGCGAGACTAAATATTTGATATCTGGTTCGATTTTCGTAAGGAACAGACAAAGGTTTCCTCTTTCGGTAATATTCAGACTATTTCTCTGTTTGCTCATATGATTTCTCATCTGTGCATTCCCTCCTCAATTCCCCTCCCACCTTTGTTTTCCTTTTTAATATTTTTTTTACCTTCCTTATAGCAATGCCCAGCAGGAAGGCTGAGCTAGGTAGCCCACTTATTATTATTATTATTATTATTATTATTATTATTATTATTATTATTATTATTAATAATAATAATAATAATAATAATAATAATAATAATATTAGCCAAGAACAATTCTCTTCTTTTTCCTTCTTTCTCCTTTTTTTACAAGTACTCTGCTCCTTCTTTCTCCTTTTTTTCCCCAAGTACTCTGCTCCTTCTTTCTCCTATTGTACAAGTACCCTGCTCATTCTATCTCCTATTTTCCAAGTACTTCACTCCCTGCTATCGTGTATCCCCCTACCTCCTCCCCTTCCTCTACCCGCGTGTTACTCGTTCACGAGCACACGCATTCGTACGTGCATACGCCCGTGCGATATGGGCGCACATGCGCGTTCAGGCACACACGCTCGCGCTTTCATGCACTCGAATCTGCAACCTAGCATTTCCTGCTTACCACTGAGTGCATGAGAGATGAATAAAGTGTTTATCTCTCTAGGTGGAGGGAGGATTCTGCTACCGCCCACCTGGAATCCCAAAACGCACAGTGGTGGGTGGTAGGGACCAGGTTGGCAACCCATGCACTATGTAAAAATTAATTGGGAACCCCTGGTCTAAGCAGGTCATGGGACCTGCATCCTAGTGAGAATGTTTAACTTGTTGAGGACATTAATCTTAGAGAAGAATAGTTCTAGTTTGGCTCTCCTGGTGCTTTGTCTCATTATATGACATTACTAAGTACCCATAGCTTATGTATTTCTACAGTTTGAATAAACAGATGACTCCTTTTGGCTATCAGATACTTGCTCTATTTATCTTTGGATATAGTCCTCCTCGTCACAATGCAGCAATTACAATTACTCGTTAATATGCTCTAGTAGTCTCTCAGTGCTTAATCTACACTGTTTTGAATTGAGCCATGTTGGTACAGTTACTTTGGTTATTAAAACGTATTGAGCACTTTAAATCTCTTGAAACATTTATCTTTAGTCAATTTGAAGCTCACAGACTTCTGTATGCTTCTGAGATCTGCCCTCAGTCACAAACTGCAAAACGAACATGAAATTTTTTTTTCATTCCAGTAATAAATTGTTTTCAAAATGTAAAAATGCTATAAGCAAAGAATTTGATCAATTTCACCCATGTTGCCAAATCTAACATAGCACATTCAATTAGTTTTTGTCTTCCAGAAAAGTTCTAACTTATTTATTTTTATGGCTCCCTGTAACATTGCTTATTGCAAGCATTTTTAAAAAGTTGACATACATACGTGTGTGTGTGTGTGTGTGTGTGTGTATAATTTTATTTTAATTTTTATATATATATTGTTGAAATATAGGCTAGCACTCATGGTCTTGTAGTTAAAAGATCATCTTTATTCAGTTATTCCATAAAAACTCGACGTTTCAGCCCACGTACTGGGCTTTCTTCAGGAGCAACAAACAACAATAACATATCAGCCTATAATGCTGCAATATATACTCATAAGTAGGAGAGAAAGAGAAGAGGAAATTTTAAAAAGATTACTCACCACAGGTGATGTCTATTTGCCGGTCGTGTGCGTCTGCATAAAGGTATAACAACCCGGAAGTACTATGCGGGGACGTGATTTCCGAAGCTATGATGTGCTCAGTGCGTGTGCACCTGCATGGGGGTATCTTACCTGGAAATATAGTGTATAGATACGACCTTGTATACATGGTTACCAGCCTTCGCGAGAGGGTAGCATGGAAACCATAGTAAACAGTAATAAAAACCGGTGCTATGACAAGACATCGGAAGCATAGAACCAATTAATATGTGTGATGCCATCAATAGAATAATCTAATAGTGCTAGTATATATATGGGAGCAGGAATCACGCCATAAGCTCCTGTAAATAAAGTGTCAAAATATATAAAGTGAAACTATGCATAACAGAGTAACTGATCAGGCTAAATATAAAATTTAGCATTTAGCCAGATCAGTTACTCTGTTATGCATAGTTTCACTTTATATATTTTGACACTTTATTTACAGGAGCTTATGGCGTGATTCCTGCTCCCATATATATACTAGCACTATTAGATTATTCTATTGATGGCATCACACATATATTAACTGGTTCTATGCTTCCAATGTCTTGTCCTAGCACCGGTTTTTATTACTGTGCAGGGCGGTGTGACAAGGGCTGCAAAAACAAAGTGATTTAATTCCTAAATGGCAGTGAATTGAGCAGTGAGACAGCAGGGGCATAATCTATACACCAAACCTGCTTCATTTAGCGAACGTTGTTTTGCCTGTAGTGCCCCTTTGATCTCTTATTCATTAAAGGGATACTCTAACCATCATAGCCACTAAAGAGTGCTGTAGTAGTTATGATAGTAGACTTCTTGCACCGTCCAACAGTAAGTTGTGAAACCAAACCGAGTGTGTATGTATATATTGTTTCAGGCTTATTGATTACCTCTCATGGGTGCTGTTAGATGTCTACATTTTGGCTGTCTTTAAAAAAATAAATAAAATAAAATCCCATTTATGCTCTTAGACAGTTGAAGAGTTTGATAGTCAGGGCCGTCTTTAACGCGGGGCAAACGGGGCAGCTGCCGGTCAGGCAGGAAGGCGGGCGCGCGAGGGAGCACTCACTGCTTCCTCTTCAGCTCCCTCGCGCACCGCACTGATGCCGGAGCCGGAAGATGACGGCCAGGAGCCCAGCAGCACCACTGGACCCCAGGGAATCCCCCCAGCACTCCAAAAGGTAAGGAGGCTGGGGGGATTACATTTAAAAAAAAAAAATGTGTGTGTTAGTGTATGTGTATTTGTGTGTTAGTGTGTGTGTGTTAGTGTATGTGTTTGTGTGTGTATTTGTGTGTTAGTGTATGTGTGTGTTAGTGTATGTATGTGTTTGTGTTGGTGTATGTGTGTTAGTGTATGTGTTTGTGTGTGTGTGTGTTTGTGTTTGTGTGTTAGTGTATGTGTGTGTTAGTGTATGTATGTGTTTGTGTGTTTATGTGTGTTAGTGTGTGTGTGTTTGTGTGTTAGTGTATGTATGTTAGTGTGTGTGTTTGTGTATGTGTTAGTATGTGTGTGTGTCAGCATGTCTGTGTGTGTCAGTATGTCTGTGTGTCAGTATGTGTATGTGTCAGTATGTCTGTCAGTGCGTCAGTATGTCTGTGTGTGTGTGTCAGTATATCAGTCTGTGTGTGTCAATGTATGTGCCTGTGTGTGTGTGTGTGTGTCAGTATATCTGTCAGTGTGTGTGTGTGTCAGTATATCTGTCAGTGTGTGGGTGTCAGTATTTCTGTCAGTGTATGTGTGTCAGTATGTTGATCAGTGTATGTGTCTGTGTGTGTGTGTGTGTCAGTATGTCTGTATATGTGCCTGTGTCAGTTTGTCTGTCAGTACGTCTACCAGTGTATGTGTCTCTGTGTGTGTCAATATATGTACCTGTGTCAGTGTGTCTGTCAGTGTATGTGCCTGTTTATCTGTATGCAGTCAGTGTATGTATCTGTGTATCTGCTTGTGCATCAGAGTGTGTACCTGTGCATCTGAGCCGCAACTTTAAATACAAATACACCCCTCCATTCAAACTTCAACACTACATATAAAACACACTCCTGCATTGAAACGTCAACACTACATACAAGCACACTCCTACATTCAAAAACAAACACTACACATAAATGCACACTTGCATTCAAACTCCAGTACCACATACAAACACATTCACACAAACATACTCCATACAAACACATGCTTACATTCAAACATACTAACATGGCTCAGTGCTAAATACAACCCTGCAAGCATGGGAAATTGGTAGAGTCCCAGCTGTCAAAGCATTGTTGGAGTTGCACGACAGATGGGGTTCTACCTTTAGTCCAACCTTGCAATTGGGGGTCCCAATAAAATTCATTCTACTTTAGTACCGCCACTGCGTTGGGATGGATGCCGTGATTGCATACCAGGGAGTGAGGGGCGAGAGCGGCAGGGCACAGGGGGCCCAAGCAAACACTTGCCCAGGGTCCATTCGTTATTAAAGACGGCCCTGTTGATAGTACAGGTTTGTTGAAATCAATGCTGTGGTTTTTGGGGTTTTGTGAAGGGGCAGCAGAGGAACTGTTACAGACAGAATTCTGAACAAGTAATACAATGGAACTGCTGTGAGGTCAATAAGACATTAACAGCACCTGTAACACTCTGGAAAGTATTTGAGAATTTTATTACCATATGTGCTTGTACACAGCATGAATCATTTGAAGATCTTTTTATTTATATTTTTTTTTTTTCATTTATTTAGAAAATTTGTCGTTAAACTTTTTTTAATAGCTTCTAGTCTGTTTGGAAAGCAAACATTTTGGCAAAATGTTAGTAACATTTGTTAAATGCGATTCACCATCTGCCTATAAGTTTAAATATGTTCTAAATCCAGTATCCCAGATCGAACCATTTTTTTCCAAGTAAATCTTCAAAAAACAAGGATTAGTAGGAAAGCCTGAATGCTGTTTTCTTTAAAAGATGTAATCTTTATTCCGAGGTAAGTGAAAATATAAATGGTGGAAAATGCAGAATCCTGAATAATGAAATTAACAGCAAGTCACAATGTGCCCACCAACACACTATCACCTCCACACACACCAATTTTATATATCCAGTAAGAAAGTGGGAGTGAGGAAGCTTAAAGAAACACTGCACTGTATAAAGTTTATTTTTACAAATTCCTCTGTGTGAACAAAATTTGGCTTTTTGAAATTTGGACATGTTATGTTCCCTGATATTTTACTTTTAAGAGTGGCTTTGAAGTAAGGTTGTAAGAAGGCAGTGACTCATTCTGAGTTGGACTGTAGCTGTCCTGTTACTCTCTCAGTTGCTCTGTATGCTTATCATATACCCCTCTATAAGCTGACTTACAATTGATTGTTCTTCCAGTAAGATCAACCAGCAAGATCTGTCAGCTAGGAAAGTGCCTGCTTGGTTTGCACTTTTTTTTGTTATAATCATAATTTTAATACAGTACATCCACTTAAAATGTATACTATAACTTGCTTCACTGCAATGTCAATTTCTATACAGGTTGACTAATATATAATTTTTTTTTTTTCTTCTAGGAAAATGACAGGACACTCTTTTCACATGGGATATACCATGGCGATTCTTAATGGCATTGTAGCAGCGCTGACTGTCATTTGGTGCATGATTTAAATGGACACAATGCAAGGATCTCAATTTATGTACAACTCGCTGAATTTTAGATATTGCTAACAAATACCAATGCTAATGCAGCTATGTGAATATGTCCAGTATTGAGGAAATTTGTATGGTTTTATAAATATATATGTATATTGGTTTGAATGACTTGTAATTAACATGATTTATATATTTATGTAATAACGCTGTTTATACAGAAAGGAATTTATAGGAACTGTTTATATTCAGTTTTATTTTATGGTTTAGGGTAACTTAAAGTTCAGTAGTTTTAAAATAACTCTCCAAACAATCATGACCCTTTATGGCATGCTGTAGTGGTTATGGTGCCAAGAGTGGCATTGGGCCCCCTCTCTCCTATTGTAAGTAGTCAATCTGTTTGACATCTTACCTGGACTAATTTGCTGGTCACTATTCCTTGTCTCTCTGTAGCCACCAGGAGAGCTGGACCTCCTGCCCAGGATCCTCCATTTAGCTCTCCTGAGCTAAGTCAGTATATTGGCTTAGAGCAGGGGTGTGGAATCTTTGGCCCTCCAGATGTTTTGGACTACATCTTCCATGATGCTCCTACAGCCATAATGCTAGCAAAACATCAGGAGATATGTAGTTCACAACATCTGGTGAGCCTGAAGGTTCCCCACCCCTGGCTTAGAGCATCAGCTGATTGCTCTCAGCCAATGAGGTAAGCCTTGCACCTGCAGGCTTAGGTGAGAGTGGTGCCTGGCAGACCTGAGGTGAGAAGACAAACTGCTTTAAAATGGTTTAACTACTTATATTGGGCGGAGGTACCAGGTTACCCCTGGCACTATAACCACTGCATCATGTTGTAGTGGTTATAGTATTTGGAGTGTTCTTTTAAGTACAGGAGAGTGTTAGAGGGATGGAGATAGATATATATATAAATAAAATTAGGTTTACTTTACTATGTTTTAAAAATTAGAATGCTCTTGAAATTGTTTTTTCAAATGTGTTTCAGAAAAGGAAAAATGTTGCCAAAAGTTAAAATTATTTATATTGTATCATAAATGTAAATTAAATAGGAATGTATTTCTAGGAATGTGGTGTCAGGGGCCCCAGGACTTTTCCATTTAAGTGTTTTAAACATATTCAAATGGCACAAAATACGGTCAGTGATGGCAGATGTCTTCCCTGAATATCCAAATGTGATGGACTGTTCTATCAATGTATTGAGCAGGGAATCCATCTTCTCAGTGCACCCAACAAAAAGACCTATATGACCTGCATCGCTTTCAACTTACTTTCAACTTAAAAGCATAAATAAAACTGTGAGCAGAATGGTAGCATACATGGTTGTTTTTTTTTTTGTAACTTTATTGTGGGAGTCTTGATAATATCAGATTACATCTGCATACATTAATGGCATTACAAAAGGCCACCAGAACCACGTCATCTTAATTTAGTGGTTCTGGGCCATAGGGACTGTCCCTGCAGCCTCAGCAGTGTAAACGGTACCTTTTTTGAGTAAAGGCAATGTTTACATTGCTGCCTAGTACCACTAGAGACTTCCTGGATTTGGTCCTGCAAAGATTGTAGGAAACGCGTTCAGAATATCCAGTGCTGAACCCTTCCCATAGAGAAGAATTGTCTCCATGCATTTCTATGAGGAGATGATGATTTACACAGTGCGGTGATACTATCCTTCCAATGTTTCAATTTAATAGTGGATTGTCTTAAATAATCAAGAGTGGCATTTGAGACACTTTTATTCCATGGGAATAAAGTTAGCCTTTTTTTATTTTTATTTATTTATATTTTTGTAGGGTCTAAGACAATTTTTCTTTTTTTAGTATCTTTTAAAATATAAAAATGTATTTTTATTTATTTTTATACTTTTTAGGCTATGTTGCTCTGTAAGGTAAATATCTGTATTTAAACGTATACTCTTGGGACCATAACATGCTGTTGTGATTATAGTATCAGGATTAGCCTTTTTAGTATAATTACCCATCGTTATGTTTGTAGTTTGGGGAAATTGTATTGATGATTGAGTAAAAGCATTCTACTGATATTTGACTGCTGCACTTTCTATAACATTTTTGTTCATTTGATTTTTTTAATTTTAAATAAAGGGCTTTAACACTCAGTCTAAATGTTGTAATTTATTTATTTTTAGCAAACAATCTAAGTAAAAACGTATAGTTTTTTTTTTTGTATTTTAGTATAAGTAGATTACAATAATAACAGAAAAAAACATAGCATAATACTGTTAACTAGGAAAAGGGAGTGGAAATGTAGATGGTAATTCACACTCACAAACCAAAATTGATTGTAGGCATATCTTATAAAACGATGAATATCTCAGGATAAGTGGAACATCATGGTGTACATAGAAGGGAACAAAAAAGCATAATAGTGCAGAGTATCTTGGTAAAAAGTACACTTTAATGATAAGGCACACTTACAATGTTGTAGTGGCAAGCAGGCATATAAAAACAACCGGTCTCGGGATCACAGGATCAACAGAACCAGAAACTCAAATAAAATAAAAAACCTGATAAATCAACAATAAAAACTCTTAAACACTATAAAAAAGCCCTACGCATTTCGTTCAAACGTCCTTGAACTTCCTCAGGGGAAGAAGAGTCCTATGTGTAGATATAACCATCTATATAATATTCATGGCTTTTAAACCCGTCCGGTTTGGCGCGCCGAAAAAATCCTCCAATTGTCCGCTTACTTCCGGGTTCGCCGTCTGTAATACTTCCGGGTGTGACCTGCTGACGCAACCGGAAATGCAGCTCACGTCTCTCTTCCGGATCTCTACCTATGCGTTCCACCTAATATGCGTTCCACCGCTCGTTTGTAGAGCGGAGAACCATAATTAATAAAGAGAAAATTAAAGAACATATATAAACAATATTGGTTATATCCATAGTTATAATCTCAAACATAACAGTGTTTATCTAGATAATATAAATCCTTGCTAATACTTCTCTTAATAAATGTACAGAGTATGGCATAAAAAATTATTTAATTCCCAGAAAATACATATAATTAGACAACATTGCCAAAACAGATATTTGTCAATATTAAAACTATATACAAAAAGAAGTGCAGAAAGTGCATAAAAGATAGATTTATCCCTTTTGTTCATATCTATTGAGGACCTGGAGGAGTCCTTATCTACAATACATTTAGTTCAAGGGTAATTGTTTAGTTTTTTAATTATTACCCACTAAGAGTGTGTTCTATCCACTAGTGGGTGAATCTGTACCTTTTCTATTTGAGTATAAGTAGATTGCATTGCATGACATTCAGCTATCGTTTTATTCAAGATAATTTCATATTTGCCCTAAATAAACCTTTTTGTGCAAGCCAAATGAGTGATACGTTGTCAGCAAAGTGAGCCAAAAACATTAACTGCATCTCTCACATTACACATTGGCTGCTTTGCTATTCTTTCCTATCCTCCTTTCTTCTCCAGAGATTTGTGCAATTTTAGAATCTTTGCTCGTTCCAATATTTAGCACTAGTCCTGGATAGATAGCAGTAGTTTTAATTATACATCTATCTAAAGCCTAAACTATCAGATTTTATGCTGCCATGTTCCAATTGAAACGATTATTCAACGTAAACGGCTGATTATGTAGTAGATCAAACTGTCACTTACGCTTTTTACCCTAAGTGTTTTTTTTAAATGAAAATTTTAAGCACCAAAGTCACTTCTTAACTTTGGGGCATATTTGCTGCTTCTGCAGCCTTGCAAACTAAAACCTTGCTAATCTGAGTAACTGAACGTCATATTTTTGTAATTTTAACATTTCTTCGGTCAGTGATTCAATGATTGAATCCAGTCTGGTATAAGAATGCAACGGATGCGGACATCAAACACTGTGTGCATCCACCGCTTATCTATAAGAAACCTTGGATTCAGTGCGTCTCATAGAGTAGCTTTGGATTGGTTGATTGCTCTGCATGTGCAGTATGACCTCAATGTTTCGATTTAAGAAGCATCTTACTGGAGACAGGTCATTAGAACCGAACACTACTTGCATTGAGACTGATGTGACATTGGATTTGTCATTCTTATTTATTTTAGAAAACCAAGTAACATAAAAATATGTCCATTTTTGAATGCGACCCCTACTTTTATTTTATTATAGAGATGAGTTGTATCTACTTGTGTTGTTGAAAACCTTGTTTAAAATATTGTCATGTTGTATACTTGTATAGCATTGTAAGGACTATGAAACTACCGTGTGCCTTGTTTTGCTCACACTATCCATAATGTTGCATATTTAAACTCCTAAATAAAGAATGTAAACAAATCCAGCGTGTGGTTTGCGAATTTGCTGGATGAAATTTTTAGCTAGACTTGTATGTTATGCTTCTACTAAATAGGCCTTGTGAAAAATTGTATGCTATTTCTTTGCACAGTAAGATAGGTAAAAAAAAATTTTTTTTTATTTTTTTTAATAGAGGCATCGACATTCAAACTGCACATTTTAGAGAAAAATAGCCCAATGTAAAAAATGTTATGATTTCATTTATGCAATGGTAGTGTAAGGAACGTTTTAGCAGACATTACATTTATGTGTATCTGGAGGTGAATACAGACACTACAAAAAGGAACTGCTTGACCGAGCGACTGGCCAAACTGCTGTCATTTCTGCTCACAGGAGAAGTATAAATATGAGTTTATCGATTTATTATTAATACCATGAAGAAGGCAATCTTTGATTTCTTGACCAGTGCAAAAGAATTAAAATTAGGCAAGAATTAAATGCATTTTGTTTCTTAATTAGTTGGCATCCCACAAAGCGACCTATTGATCAGATCTCATACCCACGAAAAGAATGCTAGTAGAACTTTAATGTCAAACGTAAGCTCAGTGGATACAAAGACTATAAAATGTGCCCATTTATCAGAACTGTCAAGTCTTCACAACAAAAAGTCCAGTAAGTAGCCACAGCTCTTCTTATTTGTAGACTGCCAGTTGCCTACTTATTTGTAGAGTGGGTTTTGATTCTGCCAGGTGGCTGCTTATCTGTAGAGTGGCCAGTAAGCTTGCCAGGTGGCCGTTTTGTATTTAGAAAGGCAGTAAGCATGCCAGGTGGCTGTTTATCTGCAGTGGGTAGTAATCCTGCCAACTGGCTCCTCCAGATGCATAGTGTTCTTTTTAATCTGTATGGAAATGGCCTTATCAACCTTGGGAACAAACTAACATATTAAGGTTATTTTGGAGGAATGAGTACATTCTATCAGAGTGAATAAAGAAACTGGCTTCTAACTACAGGATGAGAAAAAAATTGGGTCCTGCTTAACCCCTTAAGGACACATGACATGTGTGACATCTCATGATTCCCTTTTATTCCAGAAGTTTGGTCCTTAAGGGGTTAAAGGACCACTATAGGCACCCAGACCACTTCAGCTTAATGAAGTGGTCTGGGTGCCAGGTCCAGCTAGGGTTAACCCTTATTTTTTTCTATAAACATAGCATTCAGTCGAGGAGAGGAGGAGGTAAGTTTAACCCCTTCCTCACCCCAGAGCCCGGCGGGAGGGGGACCCCGAGGGTGGGGGCACCCTCAGGGCACTATAGTGCCAAGAAAACAAGTGTTTTCCTGGCACTATAGTGGTCCTTTAAAATATTTAGGGTTATCCACTAAAGTGAGAATTCAAAGTGAATTTCAAAGTCCGCTATGTTTTCTGTTTGCGTACTCTGGCCTTAAATTTGAAATTCACTGTGAATTCTTACTTGGTGAGTAAACCTGTTGGTGTTAAAGGGATTGATTTTGAAAGACCGTTTTTTTCAGATCACTGTAGCCCAGTAATAGATGTCAGAGCCTGAATCACTTCTTAGCAAGTGCAGCAACTTCAGTGTCTCTAATCATAAAATGATTGTTATTGGAAGACATGCAGGATCTGAAGTCCATGATCTAGATAAGGGATAGGAAACACAGCCCTGGCCAATCAGCATCTCCTCATAGAGATGAATTGAATCAATTAATCTCTATGAGGAAAGTTCAGTGTCTGCATGCAGAGGGAGGAGATACTGAATCACAGGATGCTGTGCACAGTGCTGCCCGGTGCTCTGCTGACAGCAGATCTGAGTGGATGGAGGCATATTATGGTTCACTCTGAGTGACTGGAAGTGTTCCTAGCTTTCAATGTAAACACTGTATTTTCTCAGAAAATAGTGTTTACATGAGAGAGGCTGCAGGGAGCTATAGTTCTTACCTGAACAACCTCATTAAGCTGAAGTTGTTCAGGTGACTATAGTGTCCATTTAAGCATTCCAGATATTGTGGACTTCATCTCCCATGATGCTTTGCCAGCATTATGGATGTAAGAATATTCTAGGAGATGAAGTCTATAACTTGTGCCTATCTCTGTACCTGATCTAGATAAGGGCACACAAGGTAACTTATTGTATATCATATCTTCTGCTGTTATAGTGAGGGCTAACAGAATTTGTGATTTAAATGAAAACTCTTTTTTATTTTTCTAAATAGTCCCTTTGTTTATACACTTCTTTCTCTTTGCCCTGCTTTCTCAGCCATTTTACTGCCTCCTGTGCATTCACAGATCAATGAAATCATCCTGTGATCTCCATGCAAGCAGAACACAACCATGTTCGCTTATCTTGTCTGTGATTCTTGCAAAACATACAGTAAAACTGAGCAGCTGTGAATACAGTAACTTCAGCAAGTGGAACAAGGACACGGGTACCATTCTAAACGTTTTCCATATTGATTTGCTGTCCATGGCCAAAATCCATATCCTTGGGAGGTGAAGGTAAGGAATCTGCTCTATTCTAAGTGATAATTTTAATATTTTTTTTAGTTATGTATTTTTCTAAATATTTTTAAATAAATTGCATTCAAATTGAAATTTAATAAAATGAACAAACTATAGCTTAACATCAGAATAAACTCACGAAACACAATCCTACACCCAGTTTAGTTAATATCTAAATGCAAAAAAGGGCAAGTATGGCAAAATAGTTATATACAGGAAAGTTTGCAGGTAGGGTATTCCTGTCTGAATCTGTAATTGGGAAAGGGGTGCACAGAGCTCCCACCAGCCAGTCTTTGACAGTGAGCAGGTTCGTGTCAGATCTTGTAGAGTAGCGTTTCTCAAACCA